ATTTTCCTCTTTACTGTACATAAGTTAGTTGTTCATTGTGAAGGCTGATTAAATAACTATCTATATGCTTAGCAGAACAGAGGCTGACAAGAGGGTGGGCAGATATTGCTCTACTGTCGGAGAAATATTCACTGTTCATTATTATATGGGCTCTGATTCTATGCTGGGAAGTACAGGGGCACAAGGTGGAGGTGCTGGGACAGCCCTCGTCCTCCATTTGTCTCAGGCTGGCATGGCTCCGGGAGGTTTGCTCATGCTTCCCAGCATACTACAGGTTCTAACATAGGAAATGGTGCATCAGCCAAGACAGCAGGGCAGAGCCATCCTCAGGCCACAGGGCAGTGAGATGCCCTAGACTCAACCGCAGGGGAGACCTTGACCTTGACTGGATGTCTCACTTTGAAGGACAGAGTGGGCTGCCTTTATGACAGGGTTACTGGAAAGACAAGTTCACATCTCACTTTATTAATCACCACTCTGCTTTAGGAACCTAGAGTTTAATTTCAATAATATGGAGGAAAAATACAAGAAACTGTTGCTTGATTTCTTTCTGCTTGGAAGCTGGAATAACTCCTCCCAAGATTCTTGAATCAGGAAGAAAAGGAACCTCTCACAACTGCTCACAGGAAAGTGGGGGGCAGGGTGGGGCGACCGTAGGAGGAGAAAGGGATTGGGGAATGACCACTGGGAAAGGTCGTTTCTATGGAGTCTCAAAGGACAGGCAGGAAAACACTCTTTCCTGTCTTTTCCTTTTAGGATCTGGGTTAGCCCTAAGATTTTAAAGATTTTTGTTTGCTGGTTGTTTTCTGGGAGAAGGACAGGTATTTTAAACTATATAATAAAGGTGATCCGCCAGGGCTATTTTTAAAAACGTGGCTTCTGCAAAGTGAGGTTGCCATGGGAATTACTCATCCCTGTTCAAAGCCGGGGTAATTACTGGGAGAAAATCTTGCCTAATGTGCTCTTGTGTTTTCTGCAATGCTTCATCAGGCCTCAGCCCCCTTGTGGGGCTGCTGTCAGTAGTTTTTATCTGCCTTAACTTGCTGTCTCCAGGCACCTGGGGCCTCACTATTTTCCTTGGAAAGAGAAAGGTGATTCCCTCTAGCATAGCGGAGGTCAGAAGTTTCTCCTAGTACAAGATAACCATTAAGAGAACAGTTTTATTTTATTGTTCCTTGGTGCGTGTTATGAGAATCACCGGTAAGCCAGCCTAATGTTCTTTCTCTTTCATGCCAGTCATTGAAGAAAAACAGCCTCAATTTGCACAATCTGCAGAGTGCTGGGTGTTTTCTTTTTTTCATGTAGAGGGAAGAACCTTACCTGCCACTTTACTGTGACTAGCATTTCCAAAGGCAATTGGGATTTTAATGGAAATTTCCAAGTACTCCCTGAAAAATACCTTATAAGGGGAGCCAATGGTGGTACGGTCTGTAATCAGAATTTTTTGTTCTGTGTTTATGTACTCTTGTTTTTAAGTGGCTTTCAAGTTTCTTAATAACAATGAAAAAAGCTTGCTGTATTTATAATACAAATGCCAGACTGCTTTGCCCTCAATTTCTGCTGCCATTAAATCCTTATCACTGAAATCCTTTGAAGAGGGATTTTCTGCTTCAGATTTCCCTGACCCAGGGGCACTCAGCAAGGTTGACAAATCCTAAGGTCTTACGAAGAACACCAAGAACTGGTGGAACTATTGCTGAAAATGGTGGATCCTGAAGGGAGTTAAGCCCACTTTTCTAACAACCTAGATCGAGTCAAAGAAAGTTAAAGAAAGCCTGGATAGTAACAGGAGCGGTTTTCTTGTCGCTCCCACAGTAGGGTTCTTGGATGACCAGAAAATAGGTTTTTGACATTCCACTTTCCAAGTGGGAGCATTTGCTGTAATAATGCACGCTGTGTGGGATAAACAGTGTTATTCCAACTGTACCCGGGAGGGATCGCTTCCTGTGGGTACACAGAGGGGTGCGCCACGTTCTCTTTAGACTCCTCCTCAACCCTGAACACACCCGTCAAGAATCTTTTTATTTTTTTCTTCATCAAATCAAAATACCATGTTTAGGAAATGTGAGAAACAGTCACATTTCATTTTAGAGAGAAAATAAACTAATATTTCAATTTTGTGTTTCCAGTGGAATAGTGTTACTGGTGATTGTTAAATGCATGTCTGGGTTTTGTGACTTTGGGCATAACGGATACCAGCTCTCGGTTCTCTTCCTGGAGATAAGTGGTCACAACCACAGCCCAGACCTCTGGCTTACAGTCTGCTTTGGAAACAAAATAGAAAACAACCTGCTTCCTAGTCTACATAAACTACAATTTTAGACTCTGGCTGAAGCCAAGCCACTGTCTTCCCACTTGTTTATCCATTGACATATGACCTTGTGTTTCCATGCCCTGTGCACAGTGTTGAGTGGATTGTAACTGTGAATAAGAGAGGTGATGTTTAATTAAAGAAAAAAAAGCCAGGCATGGTGGCCATGCCTGTAGTCCCAACTACTCAGGAGGCCGAGGCAGGAGGATAGCTTCAGCTCAGGAGTTCAAGGCTATAGTGCACAATGACTGTGCCTGTGAATAGCCGCTGCACTCCAGCGCAAGCAATAGAGCAAGACTTTGTCTATAACAAAATAGAAAGATAGGTCGGGCGCGGTGGCTCACGCCTATAATCCCAGCACTTTGGGAGGCCGAGGCAGGTGGATCAAGAGGTCAAGAGATCGAGACCATCCTGGCCAACGTGGTGAAACCCCCTCTTTACTAAAAATACAAAAATTAGCTGGGCATGGTGGCACGCGCCTGTAGTCCCAGCTACTCGGGAGACTGAGGCAGGAGAATTGCTTGAACCCAGGAGGTGGAGATTGCAGTAAGCTGAGATCGTGCCATTGCACTCCAGCGTGGGTAACAAAAGCGAAACTCCGTCTCAAAAAGAAAAAAAAAAAAAAAGATAGAAGTAAAGCCTCTAAGGACAGTTAAGGGTAATATGTCCATATCATAATTTTTCACTAGAAATTTAGAAGCAAAGGATGATCTCAGCTGAAATCTAATTAGTGTCCTGGAAGACCAAGCACAGAACAAAAATAGAGAGACCGCAATCCTAGGGGAGAAAGAAGCAGATGGAAGAGTAACAGCTGAACACAAAATAAATGGAAATTTCCCTGACCAAATATCTTAGTTGGCAAACTGAAAAGACTGTCTAGTTTGGGCAGTTCTGATGAGAAAAGACATATAAGGCATATCCTGAGAAAGCTTCTGAACTCCAAGGATACACAGAAAATCTTACAAGTTTCCCCAAAGAAACAAGCGAACAAAGTCTACCAAAAAAAAATCCTAATTGACTTAAAAAAAATGACACTGGCATCAGACTTGTCATCTACAATCTTAGATTCTGCAAAGATAGAAGAATGGCATCTTTGGGTGGATGAAGGAAAACCAACACATAGAAATCCTTGAAAAAGAAGAGACGTCCTGCAGAGAAAATAATCGTTATTGTTATCAAGAGCAACATGACTAACCTACAGCAGAGGCCCTGGGAACTGAGGGAGAGGTAAATGGGGAAAGCAGTATCACATTAGGGGAGGGGAGGCGAGAAAGAGGTGAGAAAAAGAGAAAGGCAAGGGAATGCCAAAGGGCTTATTCCTGTGGGAAGGGAAGGAATGCAGAGAGAAAGACGATCCTGGAGGGTGAAAGAGTTGGCATTTTATTTTCATACGATCATAGAGAAATATGGATTTCATAATTAGCAAAAGAAAAAGGGCAGTAACAATGCAAAGGAATAAAAAATACACTAGGAATTCCAAAGTGATATACTTGCAAGTGAACTGGATGTTTTTGTAAACTCTACTGTTTAATCTTTTTAATATTAAAGAACAATTATGAATCTTTCATTTTCTAACTAAACTGATATTGATTATGTGATCAAACTGATACATACATATATATATATATATATATAGTTTGATACTATGCATACATACATACATAGGTATATATTTATATGTATGTGTGTGTATATATAAATATGTTTACTTATTGTATGTAGACAATACGCTTTATGTCTTATGTCTTTTTTTTTTTTTTTTTTTTGAGTGGAATCTCACTCTGTTGCCCAGGCTGGAGTGCAGTGGTGTGATCTCAGCTCACTGCAACCTCTGCCTCCTAGGTTCAAGTGATTCTCCTGCCTCAACCTCCCAAGTAGCTGGGATTACGGGCACCCACCACCACGCCCAGATAATTTATGTATTTTCAGTAGAGACAGGGTTTTACCATGTTGGCCAAGCTGGGCTCAAACCTCTGACCTCAAGTTATCCACCTGCCTTGGCCTCCCAAAGTACTGGAATTATAGGCATGAGCCATGGTGCCCAGCCCTTATATTATTTTTTAAAAAGTGAATAAATGAAAAATTACATTTCTTTACCTAAATTTGCTTTATTTATATATGATTCCCTACTGATACTTTGTTGTAGACTCTGAAATTTTTTTTCCTGTCTACTTTTCAAATGATAATGAAACAGATAAACTAGATCATGAAGATCATGAATGAGCTCTTGTACCTCAGTTCCTTCCACATACTAAGCACTGAATGAATGGGAGTTCTCTTGACTGATTTTAGAGAAACCTGCTCTGGTATTCTCCCTGATGTAGTAAGTATCCATAAGGAGTTGCATTTGCAGAAGGTGACAGGTCATTGCATCTGGACTGAGCCGTGGAGATCCCAGCCCTTCCTTCTGCACCTGAGAAAATGCAGATTTGGGAGGCTCTTAAATCTTACAAAGTCCATTGGCTGCCACGTGGTGGCACAGCTCAAAACCTTACGTGGAGAAATGCAAAATTTCAATGCATAAAGTAAAAAATGTTAGGTTTCATGATCACTTTTACAAATGAAATCTTTTTCTTTTTCATTATTCTCTTGAGAAATTGGATTCCAGGACCCTTAAGAACTCTGCGGCTCATTTTCTCAAACATACGTGCTTTTTAGAAGCCTGCCTATTTGAAGCAGCGGATCTTACTTTTTGGTCAATGTATTTGTTGTCCTCAATTGCCGAGCGTTTTGAGTGGTCGCAGGATGAGGAGGAGGTGGAAGGGAGGCTTCTCAGGAGGCAACACGTGTCCTGTTGCTGGCGGTCAATAAACTGCTTCATAAAACTCTCCCTTTTCAAATGAAGTACACGCACATCACGCATTATTAATGGAATAGAGCAAGTGGCAGCATTTTGCAATGATGAGTTTGCTTGAGCAAAGATAAAGCAGTGACAATAGATCATAGAAAACTAGATTATGACTAACATAGTTCATTAGCGACAGCTTCCTGAATCTCAGTGACTCCTGCTTAAAAAAGCAATATCCTTGAAAGAATTTTTAAGTAATATTATTCATTAACTGACAGTAGCTTTTTGAATCTTATTGTGGTAATAAAACACTTTTTTTTCTCCTCTAAGACTTGGAAGAATTTGTTCCTCTCTCTAAATGTCCGTTTATCGTAAGAATGATTAAGAAAGAATTTTACATTTTCAGACTCAAAAGCAAGTGCCTTCACCTGATCTTCAAAGCATAATAAAAATTCAAGTAACATCCCTTCAAATAACCAAATTCAATTAATTTTGTTTTTTTTCAAATCAGAAATGCAAATTTATTTCTATTTGAATTTTAAGTATTATGGTACTACATCCAGTCTCATACTTTTATAACCCCTACATAATGATTTTTAAAACTAGTGACATATTACTATAACTGTATTTGGAATTTCTTGATCTAGAACTACAAGCATTTCCTTTTATTATTAAAAATAGGTGTTTAAAGCATCTTTTATGCATTTGCTTAACTGGAGGGCAAACGGCGAAAAATCAAATTAGTATGAATGGAAAGATGGCACGGTTCTTCTTTTAAAAAACGGAGGACAAATTACATGGCAACCTGGCATGGTAGCTTAAATAAACGCTGTAGTAGTATGGAAACCGGAACAGCTGTGGTTCCTCTGTTTTGTTGAAAATAAAAGCACCACAGAGGCAATTTTATTCTTATATGGTTGGGGTCAGAGACTGACGTCTACCTGCCGTCCCTGCAACACTGAGGAGCTTTGCCAGTTTGCTGGGAGGTCCCATCCCCGAGGAGTCATCTCAGAAGCGATGGGAAGTAGCCTTCTTGCTTAGGCTACTGTAGTTATAACGTGACTTTTTTCTGAATACATTGCTTAAAAGAGTCATTTTATTTAAAAAAATACAGGTTGAGGTAGTAGAAAGATAGATAACAACAAAATAGAAAGAAATCAAACCCACAAACACTTAAAAGAAGGGTTAACTCAGATTTAAGATAATGAGTCTTTTACAACGTATGTGAAACATGCAATTAAAGAAATACTTCGGTACCTGATTTTAGGAACTGTGAAATCTGAAGGAAGCTTTGAGATTTTCACCATTTGTGGTCTGTTTGGAAATTTTTCAAAAATTCGCAGGCGCAAAGGGAGCTTTTCTTTGGTGTCTGCATTTGCTTCACTTTGCTTTAACTAAAGAAAAAACAGAAGAAAAAAAGAGGGAAGCTATAATACTATCAGACATGAATTACACAATAGTTACACAATGGGAGCAATACTAAGTAATTACAGAAAATGCCAGTAGATGGCAGCAAAGGCCTACCAAGTATATGCCATAAATCGCTCTAGGAGCTAAAACTTTTGAGTTCCAGAAAAATTAAAACAAAAACAAAAATTAAAAAATACTAAACCAGAGAAAACATTTGAGGAAAACTTTATGTTATTTTATTCCTAAAGATAAGCCTCTTTTCACCTCAGATATTTTTAATGATTTACTGTTACTCACATATTTAAACAATAAAATTTGTCTCACACATGTATAATGCTAGAATTAAAAATTTTAAACACCACGGAAAAACAAGAAAAATTAACTACAGAATCATGCCAAGTAGTAGTAGTTGTGAAGAGATACAATGGCAAGAAAATTGAGTATGTCGTTTGCAGATTAAAAAAGAAAAGCTCAATGCAGAAATGGCGCATTTGGTCCATACAGCAAGAGTTTTGCAATTTGCTGTAAACATGCTTGCGAATGATGAACTAAAGTGCCATATGTTATCTTTGTGAGAAATGACAATCAAATGGATTTATTTAAGAGTATGTATTTATATTTCTACCAACTGAATTTCAGGGAAGCTGAGGTTTACCGTCGTAAACTAGAACCAAGGCTGAACTAAGACATTAAAATACAGACCGTGGCTTGCAGAATTCATGCGATGCTTTCCTATGCTCTCTTTTTCTCCCCCAGTGCTGATGTCTGGGAGTCCCTCTCTACTTCTGTTTACCTCTCCCCTCCACTGCGTCTACAGACTGGAACACACTTCCCCATGTCTGCCCTGTCTTCTGTCCTGGCTTCGTAAACTCCATCTTGTAATGCTGATCCCTTTCAAATAATACATTTAATTCAGGCTGCCTTTTTGGAGGGATTTGGGAGGCAGGTTTCAAAAACCTTCAGCTCATTTACCTCCTTGTTGGGTATGCTTTTACTTTATAACCGCGATTTGTCTTAGGACTTGTGTAAAGATAAACATGAGAGGCCAAGAGAGCTTTTAAAACAGGAGGACATGGCAATGCATCCATACTACACGTGGAAATACAATCTGGCTAAAGAGAACACAAGGGCTTCTTCTTGGGGAAACGTCCCCATTTCAGTATGATAGATGACTCAACTATCCAATTGGTTGTGAGCTCATGATGAGATTACACATCCTGATTTCTGGTTTTCTTATTAGGCTGCAGAAATTGCTCTTATGTTTTTGTTTTGTGTAACATAAACATTTTCCTTAGCCATGTGTATGTCTGATTTGATTTGTGGGTAGCCTTTGGGTTTTCTGTCTTAGATGGTAATCTTATTCAGAGAAGAAGTCACTGCTGTTCACTGCCTTCCTCCCCTGCTAACCAGAGTGCTCAACACAGTAATGTGTGCAAAATGGCACGTTCTCAACACTTCGATGGTTATGATGACGACAGTGGTAAGGAATTAGCTCCCAGAGGCACAAAACAAGAACTAGTAGCATCTCCGTGAGGTGCAGACAATTAGAAAAATGATTCCATACACAAATAAAGAGATTTACTAGGAAGAGACTTGTTTTCTAAAAGTTGATACAAGTGGTAGAAAAATATTTGTCAGTGGCAAGTAGAGCAGAAACAGAAAAAGCAGTTCATTGATTAGAACACATCAGAGTGTAAGGCAGGTATATCAGGCCAAAGGTGGTGAGACAGAGCAGAACTAAAGTATCTGTTAATTCATGCATTCGCTGACTCTTTTTTATACATTGACATTGTCACTTATAAATCAAATCTTATAGGTCAGGTTCTGTGCTATGCCTAGCCAACATCTCAGGTTTTGCACAGGGTATGTAACAATAAATAAGTCACTGCACTGGTCTTCACTGAGCCCACAGTGTGGCTGGGTAGATAGTTCTATAAACAGACAATGATAATACAATAGACGGCCACTCTGGTGGATACAGGAACAGGGTACTTGGGAACAGAAGGTAGAGAGCAAAGAGAGAAAAATAAGAAAAAAAAAAAAAATGAAGGCACTACTGCTACTCCAAGAGATTTCCTGGGCAGCAGAATACAGACGCATGGTCAGAATAGTTGACTTGGGGGCTTAGATATATCAGGAGTGGTATGCGTATTTTATGAGAATTCAGTGTTTTCAAAGAGACACATAGGCAAATGGTATATTAATCGGGACGTATCCTTGAAATGAAAACAACGAACTCTTTCCTAAAAGCCTCTCGGACGGCCCACTGCCCCCGTCCCCACCAGTGCCTCCCTGGCCAATGATACCCCTGGGTTCCTGCACACCCTGCAGCAGTCTTTCCATCTGCGTAGGCTCTTTCTAATCTGCTCTTCATTCCGTGGTTATTGTAATCTTCTCACACTGTCTTAAAACCTTTCAATGGCATTCCACTGCCTTTTTCTTTCTTTCTTTCTTTCTTTCTTTCTTTTTTTTTTTTTTTG